GGGTTTAAGAGTTTTTAAGAGTTTAAGAGTTTTAAGAGTTTTTAAGAGTTTTAGTCAAATGTTTTATAATATAGTATAGATATATATATATATATATATATATAGAGAGAGAGAGAGAGAGAGAGAGAGAAGTTCAATTACAAACTGATTTTCGGCTATGAACCGTTGGGACAAAGGAGAGCGTGACACGTGTCTGTCGACCACATTCAGTATCAAGAAGGTAAAGTTCATGAATTATTCATGATGAATAACACACAATCATGATCCATGTTAAATTAATCTATCATTCATGATGAGTAATACACATTCATTAAATGACGAATAACCCGTGGACGCATAAGATATGTGTCACATTCTCCATTGTCCCCCGGTTCACAACCAAAACTCGGTTTTCAAATGAACCCACCCTTATATATATCGAGTGAGGTTCATATTAAAATCTTAAAAAAATGAAAAACCGAAAAACACTTTATCCCTTAGATCAAAAAAAATCAAGGATTAAGATTTAAAAGACATATTTGAAAATAATTTAAAAGGAAAGGCATATATGAAAATGTCAACGTTTTTAGAGGGTATAATTGGAATTAAAAATTATTATTATTTTCTCTTTAATTAAAATCACAAAATTATCTCCTTTATCTCTCAATTAAAGAAGTTCAAAAGTCTTGTTCACCTCTGGTTCTAAGGCCCGTGTTCCATCCCTTCCAGTAAATCTATAGTCTTGGTATATGTGAAAAACAAACATTGTAAAAAAAATTGGAATGCCCATGATTATATTACAAGTGAAAATCTATGATCACACGGTGTTTATACGATGCTTAAATGATAAAAGAATAAATAGAACTCGATATAAACCCAAAGATTTCCAACAGGCAGAATTTAGAAAATCAACTTAAAAAATCATATCGATGTGAACTAAGAGGAAAATGTTATGGCATCACGATGCTTAAACAATGAAAATTCGATAGAACTCAATAACAACTTGATAGTAACCCAAAGCAGATTTTGACAAAATTAACAACTTCAAACAAAAAAAAAAGCATATTAATTCAAGTTAGAGTGAAAATTTTGTAGTTTGATGTTTGTGACAGTATTTGATTTAACCCTAGGTGCAATATAACTCCTTTATTACTTCTGGATATAGATTAATATGAGTGTTCTAATGCTTAGCAATATTTAAACAATCAAGCAGCCATAAATTATATCAAATGCTAAGTTCAAGATCAAGAACAATTGAACAAACGGCAAACACCAATTAATATTACTTTCAAGAATAATCCAACTTAACCGACAAACCCAACATTAATTAAGCAACAAGATATCACTTAATTTTGGAAATGATCAATTCCCTTGATGATCTCTAATTAATGAAAGATAAACAGTCTTGGCTATTAGTTAATGTAGACCTTGGATTGGATTAATCAACAACGATAATATATAAGATTTAGTCACTAGTTCTGGACGACCAAACCCGTCTCCTTCACCATACATGAACTGTGCCATCCTAGCTAAGTTTGTTGCACAGTCAACGAACTCCTGTAAAAATTGAGAACCTGCAACACCTGTTACTTCTTTGTTAAGTTTCTTCCATGTCTTGCTGATTAACAATTTCATATAACTTCTAGCTTCGGCTTCGGTAGCACCAGTCTCATTCATGTAACAATTAATTGCTTTTGGATTATCCCCTCTTGCCATTTCGTCCTATTAATTAATTATGGTTAGTTAGTATTTTATATTTAAAACAAAATACAATCACTAAATTAATAATGACAAAATGTATATTGTTATTAGTAAGTATAATAAAGAAATTAACAAGTATTTATATATTGGAAACATCGATCTGAAAATTAATTTGATAGAAATGAAAAGAAAAGAACAGAAGAAAAAACAAATAAAAGCTTTGTCATTCACTGAAAATACTTGGATGACTCTATTCATAGGAAAGTTATTTTAAGGTCATATCTAGTACTCAGAGTTTGCAAAATATTTCCATTTTCCAAGTTGATCCGATCCATTCGTTCCTAGAGCTATTTACTCACTCCTTCACACCAAAAAGATGGGAGCTACTTAAAAATTAAACTTAGGCTCTTAAATAGCCTTTTAAAAAACTACTAATCAAAAAACACTAAAAAGATAGACCATGCAAAAAATAAGATTGAAAAGGTCATACATGACCCGGTAAAACCCAAAAAAAATTAAGGACCATTTGCGCTCCTACAATAAGTACTTTTTGGTAAATTAACAAAGCAATATCTTTAAACGAATAATATATATATATATATATATAGTTACCGAGAATGTCGCCAAGTCGTTCACAAGTCGACAAATTAGTGATGAGTAGCGAACAATGTTGTCAGTTCTTTCCATGCATTGCAAGATCTCTTGCGTTGAAGTCATAGATGTTAAAAAATTACAATGCATGAGTATTGTAGGACCAGATACCGATATACAAGCATTGTCTAAGTACTCTTGGAATGTTGGTGTATGTCCACTTTGGTACCACTTTGCTTCTACTAGGAATGACTTGCATAAGTCTGCCCACTGTTCCAAAATAATTAAGAAAATTTAGATTCGTATCTGATCACAAATTAAGAAATTGAACATAATATTAATTAACAAAATTGGATTAATTACTGCTTTCTTTAGGTATGGAAGGATGAGTAATCTTGTGTTTGTCAAATTGTCATATGTGATCTCATTTATGGTGTTGTAGAATCCAAGGAAACATATCTTCATATAATTCGGGAGTTCTTCAATCGCATTGATATCCCATCTACGCATTCAAATTTTCTTTTTAATCGTCAGATTTCATGAAATTATATATGCAAATTAAATACTAATTGATCGATAAACATTGATTCAAATGGAAGTAACACCGATTAATTAATATTTACCTGGTGGTAACATCGGTAAATTTTTGAAGTTCGTCCAAAGTACCATAAACATCATAGACATCATCGATAGTAGTAATCATGGTGTTAACCTTTGTTAGCGTTTTCCTTCCAAGCCTAAACTTAGGTAGGTAATTAACACCAACTGTCCACAGAAAATTCTCCACCAACTGGTCTCGACAAAAGCTTAACTTCTTATTCCAACATGTATTTCTCCACCACCTATATATTCAATTCATAGCTCTACATCATTGGCAGTTAATAATTAATGTTAACTCTTCAAACTTGGACCAATCAAATGGCAATCTATTTAATAGGCGGTTATATAACAATTCCATATTTTTAGGGAGGATAAATATAACAGTTATTAAAGATAATTAACAAAGTTTCCAATATATATTTGGTTAATATTTGAATGGACCTATATATATATGTCTATATATCATGTATATATACAGGGAATAAATATGCTAAATAACTCGTAATTAAGAAAGGAATGATACCTTGATGAGTATTTTAGATCTTGAAGGTGGATAGCCTGGACCATGTTAAAATCCAATATTGNGTAATTAAGAAAGGAATGATACCTTGATGAGTATTTTAGATCTTGAAGGTGGATAGCCTGGACCATGTTAAAATCCAATATTGCAAGCTCCATCAATGTGAGATTAATCATACCACTTGTTTTCTTGCATTCTTCTATAAACCACTTGGCCTCTACTCTTGGTACTCTCCAATGCAATGGAAACTCCAAAGCATGACTTACTAATGACCATAAACTACTACTTCCATCAATCGTATCTCGAATTTGTTTTAGATATTCGGTGGTGAAGTCTCTAACATCATCCAAGATGCTTTCATCCTCGAATGAATGATAAGAAGCCTCRTACAGGTTYAWCATTYCCACCACATCAATATCCCCTTTAACATGTTCAGTCTTGTGCTTAAAGTCGTGAAAAATCTCTAAATCAAATGAAGGAATGTATAAATTTGTGTTTTATAGTAACATAAGATGCATGTGATAAAAGATTCTTGAATATTAATCAAGTTTGTACCTTGAGGAACATGATAACCATGTTGTCTGAGTAGTCGAAAGCCAAGGGCCCTAAGGTTCATATCCATTCCATTCCACTGCTCCTGAGTTTTGAAGTGATCATCGTAAATCAGCTCCAAGACATGATTTATTTCTTCCTTAAAATGATACGATATTCCGAGTCTCTGCAAATTGTCAACCAACGCAAGACTGTTCAATGGATTGCCCGTTACTTTCTGTATCATCGTCTTCACTTCTTTCTTCAAACTATATGCTCTTGCCTCGTAATCTTCTTCCTGAATGTGTAATTAAGTTTGTTGATCGTCAAACCAATGGGATCCGCTACAGAGACGGCTATTGTCGTAGAATTTGATGAACATAATAGCTTGCAAATGTTTTTTTTGATTAACCTGGATATCCAACCCGTTATGTGAGCCGACTAATCCCAGGGCAACCACCTGCTTTGCAAACTTTGAAACCTCTAGTTGCGGCAACAAGATTTTTGTAATGAAAAATTGAACAGAGAAAGAAGAACATTGAAGCCATATAGAAAGAGAGAAGTTAAACTATTAAGGGGGTGTTTGGGATTGCTTATTAAAACAACTTGTTGACTTATTCTGGTGTGACACCGGTAATAAGCACTTTTGAGCGTTTGGATAAATAGCTTATACCGGTGTCAAACCGGTAATAAGAAGTGTTTAAAGAAGTTAAATCTTTCTTGCTTATAATAAGTTAATAAGTGTTTTTGTAAAAAAAACATAAGTTGTTTCAAATAAGCAATCTCAAACACCCCCTAAGTAATACGTACGTTGGTCCCAAGTTATATATTGGTATCAATTATCATACACATATAAAAGGTGGACAAAATACACTTCTGAAAAACCTAATCATCTTACAAATACGATATAGAGTGAGGGTGAAGTTAAAATGAGAATAATAACAAAATAAAAGAACACGAAAAAAATTAAATCATGTGTAAAATCACATAAGATTTGATTTTACACTGACGGTCAACATAACTGTATGCAGGCAACATGGCTGCAATCTTAGATCACCATCAAAATCGTGTGAATCACATAAGATTTTAGTGTAAATCATATATGATTTGACCGTTTTCTTAAAATCTTATCAGTTAGTATTCTCATATGAATCTGACTATATATATATAGGCAGATTAGGTTGCAAACCGTTCAATTCATGAAAGCTATGCAAACCACTTTCGACTAATAGGAAAATTCTGTTTTTTAATTTAATTTTAATAAGGGTATAATGATCATTTCATCATGACTGATTAATATTGAAAGGTAATAACTACTGTTAGTTATGGAAATATATTAATGGAAACTTTTTATATGGAATGAGGTAAATCTTTTTTCTTAATATAACTTTTTTACCATTAAATTTTTTATTATTTAATTAAATTATACTTGTTAAAATATGAATTGTAAAAGCAGTAGAATATGAAATCTGTATTCGTTTTATTTCTTGAAACAATTTCATTTCTTGATTTAATGAAAGAATTATTGTTCACAAGTTGTTCATATTGTGTTCACACCTGTTTTTTCATTTATTTCATTTCGTGTAGCAGCTATTCTTATTATATTCATATTGTGTTCATAAATGCTATGCAGTCCAAGTTCATATATATGTCAATTTTTGTTCGTATTTGACACAATGGTTCATATATATATATATATATATATGTGTGTGTGTGTGTGTGTGTGTGTTCATATGGTTCTTACATTAACAAAAATAATGAGATTTTTTTTTGATTTTGTAACTTCAAATTAATGATATGGGAGTTACATAATTTTTTTTTACCTAAATACCCTTTTCCCATTTGTTCACATATGTTTTTTGAAATTGTAAATTTAAAAAATTGWTTTTTTATCATGATTAATCATAACCGTTTATTGTAATAATCAATGGCGAAGATTGGATAACAAAGTTAACACAATGATTTTGTTTAACATTTGAACCGTAAGACCAAGGGTTTCGTGGGACCCGTAAGACAAGTTTATGTTCATTGATCAACTTTATAAGGTATTAATCTAATGGTCTAAAATTGCACGATGACAATTTATGATTATTGAGAAGTTTCGCGTTTATGAATTTTCAGATCTGACGATTGTAGATATAATCCAATGGTTGAGAATTGGTCTTACAGGTCTCACGAAAAACCTTTGGTCTCACATGATCCCAAGTCTATGTGTGTGTGTGTATATATATATATATATATATATAGTTTGTTTCAAATACAACTCATCACATTCGTACAACAATGCAACCCAATAAATTGAAATATTTATGGAAATGATGAGAGTTCATTTATTATAATTTAAATATGAAGATAATAATGTTTATTAATTATGATCAATACTTTATATTATGAAATAATCAAAACTTCTATGAAATTACATATTTATCAAATTAAATGGACGGTTGAGATTGTGTTGTATTGATTGTACAAATGTAAAGATTGTATAATAACCCACCTCTGTGTGTGTGTGTGTGTGTATATATATATATATATACCCTAGAAGAGTACTCGCGCAATGCAGCGAGACACATATCGATTTTAATGTTCTACTTTATTATTTGTCTTTGTCGATGTTATAATACTTTATGTGTTTTTAAGAAAACAATGATGATTTTATTTTTGAATAAAATATAAATTTGAAGATATCATAAAAATTTGAAAAAAATATATCAATGTTAATATCAAATCAACTATTTAAAAGTTCTCATTTGTTATGTAATTTCATTAATTTGTTTTTTTATTATAATTTAATTTAAGTTTAATAACGAAATAATTTATTTTTGGTTTAATAATATAACATTTTATAAAGATAATAGTTAATATTCTGTTAGAACTCAATGATTATCTTAATTATATTTTAGATTTTTTTATATTTAAAATGAATTGTTTATCTGCAGTTAGTTA